TGAAGTAAGTACCATTATACATAATTTTAAAGCTAATGAAAGCAGCTACAACTTTTGTATAAAACATGTTTTCATAAAACGTCATTGAAAAAAGTTAAGGCGACGAAAATAAAATGATATGTTCAAAAATATATAAATATTTACATTTTTATACAAATAACGAACAAACGGTAAGAGCTACGACGAAAGTTAACAGAACAGGATTGTAGGAAATTTTATAACAAAGACAATAAAACGAATTGCAATTCAATAGGTCTACGTTGTTTAACAATCGAGAAAAACGTGATTTACGAAACCCTCCCTTGCACTTTATATGTTTAGGGTGGTGTAGGGTTGAGCAAGGGGGGTAGGGGTTGGGACTTTTGGCTGAACTGCTGAACACTTCTCTTCTCTAAAGCACGGGTCACACTAGGCTGGCATCAGCGGTGAATTGAAAGAAGCCGCTACTGTCAGCTTGATGTGACCACAAAATTCGCAGCTGGCATCGCTAGCCGGCGAGTATTTGTCAGCGGCTGGTGAAGTTGGACATGTTCAACTTTTGGTAGCGAGGCAGCGGCGACTAGAGGTCACGTGACCACTCGCACTCGATCGCTGACACCAGCGAGCAGCGTAGTCTGACCACTTCTAGAAGCGTGCCAGCGGCGACCAAAGGTAATATCCAGTGTTGGTTTATTATTATTATCAATTATTTAAGATGGGGACGCCACTATGTGCGTATTTTAACCCAAATATGAGTGAAGGATGAGTGTAGGACTAGTGGCGCGATCTTGTAGTCTTGTTAGTGACTAAGGCCGACATGTTCCTTAGACACAGCTGTTAATTAATAGCCCATACAGCTAATGGCAACTAAGGGACCTACAGTTTATTGTGGAATCCAGTTTAACACAAGAGGACAAAAGCAACCGTCTCAAATTTTTTAATTAGAGGCCAAACTTAATTCTAGTAATGCCTGGAATGTATGTGGTGACTGGTGACATTCGTAAAACATTTTGGTATGTTTCTGATTCTTTTTTAGTGCGTTTAAAAACGTGGTACGGTATTTTTTTTAAAGTATTTTTATTTGTAAATTATTTGTAACCAAGACCTAATCCACTAACGTCTCTTCTTGCGGTTAAGCATCTTTTAATAAAATAATTTCTCTTTCACACACATCCTCAATATTAAGTGCTGGATGAGGACCCAAAAAAGTACACAATGGCAACAAGAACTTAGCTAGTATTGTAGCATAGAAATTACTGAGCTTAGGTGGTCGGGGAAGCAGGTTATTGATTTCTTAAATTTATTCCAAAACTAAACGTGCTTGTGGGACGTTTCTTTATAGAAGTAAGAACATCAAATAAGCAGCTTACAGTGATTTGTTACAAAACCTCAAAGCTGTTCTTTTCCTTTTCACACATCGTTAATATCGCGATCACCAGTGGCTGACAAGCAGCCTAGTGTGACCCGTGCAAAAGCCGCTGCTTGATGGTGCTGGTGCCAGCTGCTGATCACCAGTGGCTGGCGAGCAGCCTAGTGTGACCCGTGCTTTAGGCTAATAATAATAACTAGGTGAAACCCGTCGAAATCGACGGTTATTTTCAAGGATTACGCTAATTCATCTAACTGCGATAAATTGAGTGAAATTGTACATATTTTGAGCATTTAGCATTGTTTAAAGATTAATAAGTGTAAAAACAATAATGATAGTTACCAAATATGGTTGATCATTCAATGAATAAAATATCTCCCATACTGTACGTCATCGGAGTTATTAGTATATTACTGGTATCTCATCGTTTGGATTAAACTTTAAATAGTATTAAAATCGTATTGGTGGATCTTTTGTAGTTAAACACTTCCGTGATTTCATCAGTGTAATGCAGATTAATCTATGATTTAATTTGAAAAAAATATCTGTTTGTTGGGAAGACACGTTCTAACCTCAAAGGGAGATATCCATTACAGTGTAAGTTTGATTTTTCCTTCGTCATGTCGCGTCAGTTCATATCGTACTTCTGTGCTAATGAATAATCCTCTATCACAGTTTTGAGAAATTTGTTGTGGAGTTACTGTTAAAGCTGGAATTCCTTGACATGGGGGATGTCAGTTAGTTGTCTCAGCCATATCAATTACATAAAGTTGTCAATATAATCTCTCTACGGAATGTGAGGTGTAGTGGAATATACTTGAAGTGAAGTTGGCTTTTATTCTTAAACTGTTAGGGGCCTCCTCATTTATATGGGGCTTCATTGACAACAAATAATGCAAATGACATAGCAATGGGACATTTCCAAAAAGCAAAAATACTGTAAATTTGCTGTTATGTGGTAAATATTGACGTTTACATGCATTGTTAATCAACGTATCTTATAAAGGATGATAAGATCTAGTTTAAAAGGAATATAACCTTTCTGTCATGACAGTAGCTGCTTAAATATTATTTACTCATTGGGCCATATTTACAGCCAAAATGTTGTGTTATTTTCAATAACATATGGGTAAGTTACATAGATTTTTTTGCTGCTGATCAGTGCACTTTAAGAATATATATTTTGGAGATAAATTAAATGGTTTTTGTTGCAGAGTAGCGCTAGTAAACATGCACAACCCTTTTCGTTAGTCTAATAACATTCAAAGGCTCTCTAAGAATTCAAGTTCTTATTTGTATAGGTACATATCTATATTATGTTTTCACTAAGCTGAATGAATACATCGAAGTAACCTCTCTGAAAAGTCTGCAGTATATTGCAGTTTTCCAGCTTAATGACTTTATTTATCATGCAAATATTTCTACATAAATATTGTAAAATGTTTTATCCAGTTGCTGTAAACTACTATCAATTTAACAAAATATGGACACGGCTCATATAGGCACCGTGCCCTTCTGCACTTGTAGGCTATTATTTTGTATTGTATTACACAATTTAATATTTTTCCAATGATTGAAAACATGTATGACAATAATCTCATGAACCTATGATGATCTGTCTAGAACAATATGATAAAAATAAAGACAAAAATGGTGAAAAGGGCAGTCACTAACCCGTAAAATAGATATAAGGTCAATAAGAAATAATTTTAAGAGTTACTGTGATAAAAGGATTTTCCACTGATTTCGTGATGGTATATATTGCAAAACATAACATGATACAGAAAAAAAATAATTTTAAAATCAGAAAATAACATTGCAAATGCTTCTTTTGGACAATTTAGTAACTCCCAATTGTGTCTTGTTTAAAATACAATTTACAAATTAACAGCTGTTTCATTAAAAAGTATTATCCACATGGCCAAAATGTAAACAAATCTGTAGAGGGATCTTTAAAGGCTTCTGGGGCATAGCCCTAAGGGAATTTACTTCGTTTTTCTTTTGATAACCCATCTACAGACCAAGACCTTTCTTTTGACACCCCTACCAAGTTTCTACGCCCAGCCGTTCTCTCAAATTAGTGAAGACAAAGTTTCCAATTAAATTTTTAGATTCCCCCATGTTAATCTTATGGGAGAAAATCCAACTTTGATGGAAGATCCTGCCCAAACTAATAAAGATATCAAAAAACGAAAAACACTTTGCAAAACTACAGATCAGGGCAATTCTTTTGACATTTTAATCATCAAAATCGGTCCAAAAATGAGGGAGTCTGAGTTCTATTCACAAAAATCGGCTTAGCGTATTATATATACTAGTGTACCTGTTGCTCGAATTCGAGCAATTGCGAAGCATTACAGGCGACTCAAAGCTTATGGAAATACTCACGATCTACACAACAGTTAGATATAATCAAAATCTTTTGTAAATATCTTATCTTTTTTTAAAAAGCTTATCTTGTTTTTTTAGTGTTTTCTACAAATTTTTCCCTCTCATAGCCTCATTAGGTAGTCTATGACAACGATTATAAATGAAAAATAAATTATTTCTATATCTTCTGCTTGGTTGTGTTCTATGACTTTTTCTATGATTCCATTGTTTGCAAATCGATTATTTCAATGATTGCTCAAGAAATGTATAACAGTGTTAATTCAGTTTTATTTTTAGCCCATATCAAATTTTCCAGGATTTCTCGCTCTTTTCCATTGTAATAATTACACCAACCCAAGTTTCGTCTACAGATGCAATATGCCAACGAATATCACCTACGTACAATCTCCAAGAAGTGGTAAAAAAGGCAGAAACCAACCCATACAATAGATATAAGTTAACTCCAAAAGAAATAATTTTAAGAGTTACTGTGATATTAGGATTTTCCACTGATTTGGTAATAGAAAATTATATTGCAAAACATGACACGATGCAGAAGAAAATCCAATTTATCAATCAGAAAAACCCATTGCAAATACTGTACTTCATTTTGACAAATTCATTAAATCACAATTAATTTAAATATTAACAGCTGTTTCATTAAAAATTAGTGCAGAATTATGCATATGGTCGTAATGTAAACAAATCTGAAGAGGAAACTTTAAAGGCTTCTGGGGCAGAGCCCCAAGGGAATTTACCTCGTTCCTCTTTTGATGGCTCATCTACAGACCAAGACCTTCCTTTAGAGACCCCTACCAAGTTTCTACGCCCAGCAGTTCTCTCAAAATAGCTGTGACAAAAACCCCGTTTTCCTCCATAAGAATAACATGGGATGGGAATTTAAAGGCCACTGGGGCAGAGCCCCAAGGGAATTCACCATTTTTTTTCTTTTGATGGCTCATCTACAGACCAAGACCTTTCTTTAGACACCTCTACCGAGCTTCTACACCCAGCGGTTGTCTCAAAATAGCTATGACAAAGAAAAACAGTTTCAAATTAATATATAGATAGAAGATGGTAGTATTCGATGGGAAAAAATCAGCTTGTTTTTTTTTTTTTTTTTTTTTTTTACGAAACAGGTTGATTGGGCTATCAACACGAAGTCCACTCCACTGCCACTCCACACCACAAACATCCACAAACAGAATCAGCAGAAAGTCTGATCCTGATGCTGATCTGACGTCTGTCTGCTCGTCTCCGTCTGCTGTCCTGAGTGGTCCTGACTGGCTCGTCCGTCACGTCAATAATTAATTGTCAAATAATATCAATTGTGTGGTGATCCTGAGTTACTTAGGCCTACTGTGTTTGTGTGATTGTAGAGTTCGATTCGTGTGTTACTGTTATATAGTGCGCTCAACGATTGAACTGCAATCATTAATTTGTTTATTAAGTCACTAATCTAGATTGAATAGACTTAATGTAAAAGCCTAGGCTCAAATCAAATTCTTATAAATCGGACTAGGCCTCTAGGTAGAAAGATCAAATAGGCCTGAGACATTTATGGAGAATAATTCTAAATTCTTTAATGAGACATTTTTGATCCAGTTCTATATTGAAATTAGTTTTTAAAGGTTTTGATTTAAGGTGGCGGCTTATCTAATTTGATAATGGCTGGTCGTGAAAAGATACAGAAAAGCGAAGATGACCACAGTGTAGAGGTAGGCCTACCCTTCATTTAATCCCATTTAACTTAAGTTAGTAGGTTATTTATTAAACTGTCCGGAAATAATTGCAATGAGGGTGACCAAGAGTATAATAGTACCGTACACCATTGTTTTCAGGTACCGGGTAAATATCTAGTTTCTAATGATAGGCTAGGTGGCTGCACTTTACTTTAGGTCCTACACTCATTCAAAGGTAAGGTTAACCTAATCTAACTAACCAAACGATGTAGCCTATCGAATGAAACAATCGAATAATCGATATTTTCATTCGAATGAATGTAGGCTGGACCTAAATTAAAGTGCAGCCGGCTAGGTATATAAATTACTAGTTGTATTAATAGTCAAAGCTAAGACTTAGTAGCCTACTCTTGGTCATCCTCATCGCAATTACCAAATGTCCGTTTTCACACTACATGACACGGCACTGGTACAACACTGAGATAACAAATAGGTAAGTTAAGGCATTTCACACTAGGCCTACGTCGACGGCAACTGCACAACTCTTGGTCGTCGTTAGACAACTTGCCTCCTTTTGAAGTGGGTGTTTGGCACCATGGCTGATTATAACAGAAGATTGTAAGTTTTATTATTTGTTTTATTAGCGAATTCAAAATTCAAAATTCTTTATTAAGTGCTCTTATACAGCTTAATAGCCAATTACATAAAGCACTAATACACAATAACATAAATTACATGCACGACAGCTACCCTACAGCAAACAGCATACAACTTTAATACATAAACAACAGCATAGCAACGCTTGTGGCGCTGCCTACAGATTGACAGGCAAAGCTCTCTCAAAACACTTAATGCTTTTTACCATGCGGTTGGCATTCTGGGTTATAGTAGTACGTTTTCTGTGCTTATATTCAGAACAGGAGTTGGTTTGCATATTTAGTGTGCATTTTTCCAGATATGATGGCAAAACTATAACTGTTTAGGAATACGTAGGCCTATAAACCTTCTCAAATACAATATCTGACAGTTTCAAAGCCAAAACGAATGCTTCGCAATTAAATGTCACCTGATCATGTTAGTCCATATTTTATATCTAACGATGAAAGGAATTGCTTTACAGTATAGATCTATGAGGCATAGCCCTAAGGTAGGCCTGTAATTGAAAGTTACTTTTCACACTGCTTAAAAATAGTTTTACATTACCTCAACCTCACTACTGCACACTTTATTCGGGTTGAAATTTGTATTAACAATGGTGCTCTTGTCTTTTCCACGAAAAATAAGGACATTAATGCGTTACCAATAGACATACACTCACAAATACAGAATTGAGTCCTCACAACATTTTGGAGTCCAGACAGAAAACGCTAAAAATCATACAGTAAGACATCAATCTATCTATATATTAATAGGCAAGCATGTTTCTTTAAAACCTTTTTTCTCAGCTCGTGTGAATCGTAGGGAAAATCTACGCATACCGTTGGAAAGCTATTTTCCTGTAGGTGTGCAGAATCCCTTTATAAATTTAAATAGGCTCAAAGATAAGCACAAAAAATGAGTTTAAAAATTTGAAAAAATTAACATGGATCTTATGCGTTGCTATGCTGGTTACGAAATAACAACGAAATATAAACAGAAAATCAAAACAAATGGAGGAAACTCCAATCACATGTTTTATTTACAGTGTGGGGTGAAAATAGATAAGTGAGTACATTACATATTTTTGGTCGAGTTTCGACCACTGGACGACCTCTCGTTTAATTTAATAAGCAATAAGGTGTAGTGTTTATAAATAAATAGTGAAAATAGTGATGTGTTTGTAAGTAAAAATGATTCTTACTGCTACCACCGGTTCTAAGGAAAAGTAGCAGTACCTAAAACCAACGTTTACATTTGAGAAAAGAACTGTAGTACTTACGACTAATTCAAACTGCCCTTCTAATCAAACTGTATTATAGGTGTTAATCTCTTGGCAAATATATAAATAAATAAATACACAGGCCACAAAACATGTAACATGTAACGTTAACAACGTAAAGCTTTAAAAACTCACTATGGTTTGCTAAAAAAAAAACTTTCACTTGATGTGGTGCAGTACCGAAGTTATTAATCTCCTTTGGTTTTAAACTTTTTTAAAGTTTTCGAAAATCAAAGTTATTTCCCATTAATAGCATTATTTGTAAGCAGCTTTTAATGTTAACATATTAATGACAGTTTGAAGAAACCACCTTATCCAAACAAAGATTTCTTATTTAACAGATTACGTAATCTCTAAACGATAATCGGCACATATATCTAGCAAACATTCGGAGGAAATGTGACAAAAACGCACAAATCTGGGGTTTTGTACGTTTGTAGTTTTATTTCCTAAGTAGGAAAAGTACCGATATCGTTGTCGAAATGTAAGTAGAAACCAAAAGTGACACATTGGAAAAGCGAGTTTAGCTACATTGAAACCTCCGTTACGGTACGATCACAGCGAAATCAGAAAGATCTTCCAAGATCGCAGCAACATCCACGATCACCCAGTGCAGTTGTGATTTTTTACTTTGCACTTTACACAACTGAACTTGAAGCGCCGTCAATGAGTGGAAACCTTTGTAAGCTACGGTATTGGTGACGATAATTAAAAAAATGTAAGTTTCCTTGCACTAATACAACACTAATTCACGGTATTTTCCCCGATTATCAAAACTCAATAACATTCGTTGATCTTGCGATTAATTAAACCGGTTAAGTAAGGCACAACGTTTTTAATCTCACTTGGTTTGGATGTGCTGACAAAACTTGATCGGAAATGATTGCGGTATTTGTAAACAACTTTTAATGTAAACACTAGAGAACCCGTGCGGCTCAATGAGCCGCATAGTATACACAACACCGAGGAAAACGTTATGCTTAATTTTTCTAGTTACATCTTAGATTTGACTTGTTAGAAGCTAATTTTAAATATCTCTATTTGCGTCGTCAAGGTAAACCTTAATTATTCCTGCTCTCAGTCTTAACTGGTAACTTCTAATAAATGCTAAACGATCTGCTTCAATTCGAGCTAACATGTTGCAACAAAGTTTTTCCAGCATTGAGAATTGAAGAAAACTGCCTAGGCATCCCCCTAATCAAACAAATTTTCTCCATAGAGAATCCTGAAAAGTGGAGTTATCAACCATTTAATGTGCTCCATCTTTTACCCACAAACTCAGGGTTATCAACTGGAAAGCCATAATCTGCTTTGAATAGGCTTAAGCAGCAACACCATTGATAGTTTGTTAACGTGTTGTGTGAGTCACAGTATACGCCCTGCATCAAAATGTTCTCACGTTGTTCAGTGGGGTTTCTCTTAACACCCCATGTCCCATAGCTTTGAAAGTATGGATCCATTTGTCGAAATAGGTTGGATAACTCTTGTAGCTATAAGATTTGGTTAGTAATTTTCATTTTATCTTTTTGAACAGCGTATATTATTTGCGAAACGGCACACGGAAGATTTCTCAGGTGCCGTTTGATGTTACTAACTGCTGACGTCACTTTGAGGGAACACCAATACCGCAACGATACGGTTTTGAGCCATCGGCCTCGGTGGTGCAGTTTATAGCGTTGCGGGCTGATAATCCGAATGTTCCGGGTTCGAATCTCCCGGCGGCACTAACTTTTTATCAACAATTTTTTCATATCAGCAAGTTTGGTTGGTTTGGTTAGGTTATTACAGTTTAATTTTATAATTAAAAAATCATAAAATTGAATTTTAGGCAATTATAATTTTATTTTATGAACAAAACTATTTTTTTGATTAGTAAACCTTTATTCGATTTTTCCATTATCAGCACGTTTGGTTAGTTTGGTAAGGTTATGACAGTTTAATTTAATAATAGAAAATTATAAAATTGTCTGTTTCTTCAGACGCAGCAGTTAGTGACGTCAGCAGTTAGTGACGTCAAACGGCACCTGAGAAATCTTCCGTGTGCCCCACCGTATTATTTGCCTCTCCTGAATCATAAAAATAAACTTGACTGTAACTACTCGATCGTTGAATACATGAACACTAATTCCTTCCCTTATGTCTAATATTGCCACTAAAATTCAGTAAAAAAACTTTGTATAAGTTTGTCCGAGGAACTGGCAACATAACCTAGAAGTAAACAATCCATTTGTGTTTTTCCTCAATTAAAGTAGAGCGAGTATAAGGTTCGCCAAGATTTGGTATAATCTTACTACTTGAACTTATCAACTCAAGGCATTATTATGGTTTCTACTAAATGTTTTGAAATATCTCGATCCGTCAGTGTCATAAGTAAAAATTTCTTGCATAAATTCATTTGATCTGACATTAGGCAAGTTTATTTTACCACCGTGACAACACGATTTGCTTTGTATATTTTTTCACTTCCAAAGTAAGTTGCATAGCAGAACTGGCAAATATTATTCATCTCACCAAGTGAATGTGTATCTGTTAGACCAGGCCTCCCTTTCTCTACTCTCCTTATACGCATAAGATACCTTATTATTAAATGTCTCCTCCTCCCGTTTTCAAAATTTATTCTTTGAACTTCACACATTTTCCGTTCTTCCAACAAAACTGATTAACTGTTTAACTTGGTCTTAATCTACTGAATATTAAATCATTAATATTTACTCCCAAAAAGCTAATGAGTTTCTTTTTATAAACAGCTGTTTTTTGTTTTTAAATTTGTTCTATGTATTTCTTATGGGGAGAACCCGACCTTTGAGAGGGTCTCACGCCCTTAAAAGTAGACATTTTTAAGTTCTAAAACCTTTTAGCAAAACTACATATTGAGACGAATCTTTTGACACGTTAAACGTTGAAATTGGTCCACAAATAAGGGAGGAGTTGCGTTAACAAAATACGGCTTCACGTATTATATATATAGATATCAGTGACAGCTAGAAGTGAGAACTAATCCAAACAGCTGATCGTTATTTCATAAAATGTAATAGGAAACATTGGGAGAAAATTTGATAAAAATCGAACAAAATTGGGTTTTTGGTGGTTTGTTATTTTGTTTTCAAAGAAGCGAGGT